CACAAGGAGGTAGCTCTCTGTAAATCTGGAAGAAAAAGAAATCAAGGCAGGATTTTAAGCACACTTTTAGGTTATAGTTTATCATATTTTATCTACTTTGAGACATTTTCTTGCCACAACATCCCTAGCAACTGTCATGAGCGGGGCGATCAATAGTTACTTAACGCTCTTAGACATTTTCGAATGCTCGGTTTATTCATTGCAAACACACATCAACCAATCTAAAATATTACTCAACTACTAAGGGCAAACAACGATGAGCATAAGGGCATAATAACAGCACTCCACGCATTTCATACTAGCACCATAGTCCCAATAAGCATTGCCTCGTTGGTGTACTCACCCTGGGAAGCGTTGAGAGCAGGAGTTGATGTCTCCTTGCTTGGCTCTCTGAAAAGTCAGTGTCCCTACCCAGGTTTAGATTGACAGCTTGGCTGGCTCTTTGACGTATTCACTGTCCCAGTCAAGTCTTATTGGCTTTCTCCACGCTTTAGGTGACTTGGCTGGTTTTGGGGCGTCGGTCAGGTCTCAGCCCAGTCTTATCAGGGTTCCCCACATTTCTGTGGTGGCTCCTTGGATCAGCTGTTGATTTGGGCCCCAATGTTACACTTTATTTCTTCTCTAAAATGGAGTTTCTTGTGCTTTTTTCTTTGAGGTGGCTCTACGTCTTGTAAGGAAGTTCCTCTCATCAGCAACTCAAATGCTCTCTTGAGGAAGAGAACTTAGTGTTTCAATTCTGGCTTCCTTTGGCTGCTAGTGGTGCTGTGAACTCCCTGGTGCGCCTTTAAAAAGCTCTAACTTTGGCTTGTGTTTCAGAAAGGGATGGAACCGGTCCCGTGAATACACAGAAACGAGCAGACTTAGTTGCTGTCACCCCTGCTAGTCAACTTTGTCGAGTCGGTGCTTTTTGTGAATATTCTGATACACGCTTGAATGCGGACATGATGGAGAACTCTGGTTTTTCATGTAATGCAGCTCAGCAGGTCAATAACTGTCAGTGGGAGCACTGTCCGTTTTGGTCCGTCATGTAAGTGACATGTAGATGTGTTAAATTGATGATCCCTGTTTGAAGTTCTGTCAATGTCCCGATAGTTTTGGACTCTTGTTCCCTCTATATGTTTCCTTGAATGCAATGAAGTGTTTTGGAATTCTCATTCTTTGCAATGTTACCCATAATATGTTATGATCCTAACAGTAGAATGCCATCGCATAATCAATAAAACACAAATGAACATCTTTCTGGCCAAGATTCATCTGACATCAACAATGATTTCCCCCTTACCATATGGTATTCTGCTTCTAGTTTGAATTGTGGCAATTACCTGTTGATGTATTACTGCAGCTGTTTTTGAATTCTCCTCAGCATAATCTTGCTTGTATTTGTATCATGTGTTAGGTCATCTTTCTTTGGATTGGGCACAGATAGGGATCTCTTTCAGTTGGTTGGCCAGATCACTAACTAGCTGCCTTCCGAGTTTCTTGACATAGATGAGAGACCATTTCCTGTGTTGCATCCATTTGTTGAAACACTTCAAATATTCCATCAACGTGTGGAACCAAGTTTATCATCAATGCCTTCAGTGCAGCTTGGACGTCTTTCTTCTGTACCATTGGTTCTTGACCCTCTGCTGCCTCCTGAAATGCTTGAATGAGTGAAGCTTTACAGAATAGATAAGTTTCCCGTTCAATGATTCAGTCTCATTTTGCTTCATGTCACTGATTACAATCCACACAATTACACTAATTACACAGCTATCACTGATTACAGTCCACTTCTCTCCTGTATTTCCTGTTTCAGTTCCTCCTTCATTCCTAACTTTTCTCAACTTTATCCTTTGGTTAATACTGCCCTTTTGGTCTCATAATTGTTCTAACAGGAGTGTAGTTCCCCGGTGTTAACTGCACCTCTTATAGGCCCATTTATTGCTTGAGTGAAGGTTGAGCCATGGATTCATTTCCAGAGCTGAAGGGTGACTAAGGGCCATGGACATGTTCCACTAGTTTCTTTCTGACTAGTAAATCTGATGTTGATATGATTTTGCATTTTAATTAATATTTTTCTTCAGCTCTACATAGGAACTTCTCATGTGAACCTCTCCAGAACAGTTGGTAATATCAATGTGGCTCCATCTAATTCTTGTGTAGCCCATTAGACCACTGAACTACTTGTTTCCATATATATTTGATTTTTTTTTTCACTCTTGCCTCTGGAAAGGGAAAGATCAATAGTTGCTTCTTAAATGTCAACCCAGAAGCTTTTAAGAGCTCAGTTGCTACTCACCAGGTGGGACCTTCCACTTTATGATGCCCATTGAATCCTTCCATATTGAATGCAGACTTCTTTTTCTCTCTTCAGTTCTTTCTGCTTGAGAAATGCTGGGCATTCATCCCTACTGGTTTTCTAACTCCAGCCCTTAACACATTTCATTATATTGCTTTCCTTTGTCTTCTTGAGCTGCCCTTTGAAACCTTCTGTTCAGTTTCATTTCTTAATGATTTTTTTTTTCACATTTGTTTAAGCTACTCTTCCATCAAATACAAGATTCAGAGTCTCTTCTGACATGCATTTGGTCTTTTTCCCCCCTTTGCCTTTTTAATGACCTTCGGCTTCGTTCATGTATGCTGTCCTTGAGGTCATCCAACCACTTGCATTTACTCATTAGTGTTCAATGCATCACATCTCTTCTTGAGATCAGGTAGGACTGTCAGAGTATATGGCTGAGATAGTTAAGGTTTATTGTGCCAACCTAACCAATAAACACATGTGGGATTAATTGAAGAGCGGAGAGATAAATGGCTCAGTGAGCCTCGCATTTTGTAGTTCTTGGGTGTCTTGCTTTCTGATGGTCGGACCAGGGTGCAGCTGCCTTAGTCATTTCCCTGCTTCAGCCGGCAAAGCTCACTTCCTGCAAGACATCCCTGAGGAGAAGCCACATGGACCTACCCCGAAGCAGCCCTGAGTGCTGAAGCAGCCATGTGGAGACCCCTGCCAGCACTGAGATGCTTACACACTCACTGATTTGGCTTTCCACCTGCAGTCAGCGTCATTGCATGTGTTTTGGAGATTGAGGAGGACTTTGTAGATTGGTGTTGGACATAGGGGCTAATGTTGGACTTTGAGGAGGACTTTGCAGATTGGTGTCGGACATATGGGCTAATGTTGGACTTCTGGGCTTGGACAGCACTGAGTTGGGATGCTTTCTTAATGTACACTTACCCTTTATATGAAAATCTCTCTTATACATATGAGTTTCTGTGGATTCGTTTTTCTAATGTACCCACACTAACACAATGGTATTCAGGGTTTCTGCCAATGGATTATAATTTTGCATTTTTCTTTGGACTTGTTGGATTCTTTTGTGAGTTTAAAAAATATATAGATACAAATTCTAGTTCCCAGAAGTATATAAAACAACAAAATAAACCCATGTACCCCATCTGAATAAGCCTGAGGTGAGGTTTGTGTGTGTGTTTTAATCTCTAGTATTTCTGTCCCGAGGAGAACTGTTGATTGTCTAAATCATTTCTCATTTCTGTGTTTACGTCTGTTATTACAAGCCACCACCTAACTCTGGATGGTGACAGTCATTTTCCATTTTGCCTGGTGGAGTGAATGAGCAGCAGAAAGTCATCGCTGGTTGTATCGTGTACATCTCAGCTAGGAGGAACCAGTGGACATCCTTCATTTTATAACCAAGTGAATTGGAAAAAAGAAATGCTGAACATAATTTTGTGAAAGTATGAATAATGCTGATGCATTTCTTCAGATTATTCTTTACTCATATATTTCAGAAGTATAGATTTGTGTGTGTGTGTGTGTGTGTGTCTTTCTGATTGTGGTGGGTAATTGCGTTTTCAGTAGATTAGAATGTTTTCGAGTTGTTTTGTGTGTGGGAGGGTGGTATGTGTATTGTTATTAAACCTAATGTATTATAGCATATAAACTGATATCACAAAATGAGTACAGTTTTTATTTTATGCAAATTTTATCTTCAATAAATGTACTAGTATTCTGTTGTAGACATTTTGGCCTAATATGAATTTCAAATACATACATTGCAAGAGCTATTTAAAAAATTGTAGGACTTTCAAGTTCTTGGCATTTCTGGTTTCCAAATAATTAAGTTCAAATATTTTTTGTGCCTTGTTGCTCAAGTACCCTGGGAATGAAAACAAGCCAAATTATGACAGATAATTATTGCTCAAAATTAGAATAGTTAATGGGAGATGCTGTTAAAATGTTGGTTTATTACCAACCCAACCAAGAATAGTGGTGTTTTCTAAACTCTTAGCTCCCGCAATCATTTGTATCTGTCACTAATAACGAAGAAACCCTTGAATATCTTATTCAATTACTATAGCCATCTTTTTAAGGAACTAGAACAACCGGGCTATTTCTTTGTCCCATGTTTTCCTGTTCACGTTAGAATTGCTCTGTTAGCAATATGCCATGCTTCTGCTGACTGATATATAATGATCAGTAGGTATATTTGTTGTAAATGTTATGGTGGCCCTGTGTCTCATAAGGATATCCATGCTGCATATTTGGATGTTTCATTGGAAATTTGCTTTGAAAAATATGTGATGTGATAACTGTCAGATGGTTTGATTTCCTTCTGTGCAGGCCAGCCTTTTCAAACTACCCTATGGACAGCGTTTGGCTGTGAAGAGCAGTGTGGGGAGTGGGGGTGGGGAGGAAATCGCTATGCTTTGGAAGAACCTAGTTCCAGGACTCTGGCAGATGAAAGTCAGCAGGAGGGGAGGGAGCACAGGGTTCTAGAAAGAAGGCTCAGTGCAGTTCTAACTTGGCCACATCAATAGATTTTCATTAACATTCTAATGTTAGGATGCCCTTTGACTACAATGGTCTTGCCCTGAACTCTGCCCCTCAATTGTTGAATGACCCTCGGAGTAATAATCCGAATTTAAAAAAATTAAAGTCGATGTAGATGTTATTTTGCCAATAACTCCTTTTTCATCATTATTATTTTTTTAAACAGAAATCTTAGAAGCTGGTCTTAAAGGAACTTCAGAATCACTGAAAGGTGTGAAACGGAAAAAGATTGTAACTGAGAATCACCTGAAAAAAATACCAAAATCCCCACTGAGAAACCCTCTCCAGGCAAAACAGAAACAAAATACAGAAGAGGCATCTTGCACGGGTCTGCAGAGTGCTTCCGAGCCTCACAAGAAACGGAACCAGGTTCCCGTTAAAAATGGGAAGCAAGTCAGTAAACAAAATGGAGAAGCGCCCGGAATAATTTCCGACGCCTCTAAATCCGACGAGCCTGTCTCCCCAAAGCAGCCCTTGTTTGTGCAGCATACCGCCGAGCTGCGCAGATGGAGGTCGGAAGGGGCCGCCCCGGCCAAGTTGAACTTCCCAGACGCAAAAGGTGACTCGAGTTCTTTGTCCAGTAAAGCAAGGACTGACAATAGTGAATGTATCTCTTCCAGTTGTACTTCCACCTCCGCCTCCTACACGAACACCGCCTTTGATGTCTTACTGAAAGCAATGGAGCCAGAACTGAGCACCTTGTCACAAAAGGGCTCGTCTTGTGCAATTAAGATCGAAAAACTGAGACCAAATAGAACTGTCCACTCGCCCACGAATCTGAAAACCAGTCCCGCAGAGGCCCCGGCATTTGCTGCCAGCGACCCCCCGCAGCCCTCCCCGTGCTGTGTGGCCTCCGAGGCCTCTACTGCGTACGGCCCCCCTGAGCACCCTGTTCCGCGGGCTGCCCAGCCCAGCCGGCAGCTTCCGGGGTGCCCGACTTTCACCAGGTCAGCCACGGGTCTGCACTCGCAAGAGCACGCCAAACTGGAAGCAGTGTGTAATGTAGCCGTGCCACCACCTCCCAGTAGAACTCAGGTTATTCCTCCAAACCAGCAAGGGGGCGCAGCTGCAGCCGTGCCAGTGAGCCTGACGCCCTCCGGACAGCCCCCCGCCACCCCGGGGGTGCATCCCAGCGTCGAGCAAATGTGCGATCTCCTTCTGAAAGACCCGAAGCCCAAAAAGCAAGGGAAGTACATCTGCGAGTACTGCAACCGAGCCTGCGCGAAGCCCAGCGTGCTCCTGAAGCACATCCGCTCCCACACGGGGGAGCGGCCCTATCCCTGCGTGACCTGTGGGTTTTCCTTTAAGACGAAGAGTAACCTGTACAAGCACAAAAAATCCCACGCCCACACCATCAAACTGGGGCTTGTCTTACAGCCAGACTCCAGTGGTTTGTTCACGTCACACGAGTCCCCCAAAGCACTTAGCGTCCAGTCAGACCTGGAAGACAGTGGCGAGAGTGACGATGAGGGCACTGCCGAGGAAAGACACGACGACCTGGGCCCCATGGGTCTGCAGTCTGTGCAAATCAGGAACACGGAAGCCGCCTCTGTGTCGAGTACCGTTCCATGCAACCCCGATCCCATGCTAGGGGACTTCTCACGACAGGAAAAACTGTCTGGCTTGCAAGCTCTCACCGAGTTACCCAAAGTTGTGGTCCACCCTGTGGGCGTATCCCCTTTAAGCGCGGGTAGTCCAAAGTCAGAGGTCATCTCTGAGCTTTCCAGTGCCCAGAAGCAGAAGGACCTCATGGTGGCCAAGGGGCTGTCGAATTCAGCTTGTGTACCCTCCCTAGAGTCAGATGAGCAGGCCCCTCAGAAAAGGGACCTGAGCCATTCAGAAGGAAAACAAGAATCTCATGCAGGGACAGTGCACGCCCAGCTACAAAGGCAGCAGGCTACAGATTTCTCCCAGGAGCAACAAGTAAAGCTGCTTCTGAGTCCCCGAAGCCTAGGAAGTACGGATTCGGGGTACTTCTCGCGCTCTGAAAGTGCCGATCAGACAGTGAGTCCACCAACTCCCTTTGCCAGAGCGTTACCCACCACCGAGTCAGACCCGAATAAGCCGAACGGACCCTCTGCCTCTCGTGTCAGTACACTCGCTCCCGCTGCTCCACCAACAAGCGAGAAAGCCTTGCTTTCACCAGGCCAGATGCGACCACCTTTGGCAACGAAAACCCTTGAAGAACGGATATCAAAGCTCATCTCAGACAACGAAGCCCTGGTTGATGACAAGCAGTTGGATAGTGTAAAACCACGGAGAACATCCCTCTCGCGCCGGGGAAGCATCGACTCCCCCAAATCATACATATTTAAAGATTCTTTCCAGTTTGATTTGAAGCCCATGGGACGGAGAACAAGCTCGAGCTCAGATATACCAAAGTCCCCTTTTACCCCAACTGAGAAGTCAAAACAGGTTTTCCTTCTGTCTGTACCTTCCCTTGACTGTTTGCCTATTACTAGAAGTAACTCTATGCCCACCACGGGCTGCTCTGCAGTACCTGCAAATCTAATACCTCCCCCTCACCCAATAAGAGGAAGTCAATCATTTGATGACAAGATTGGCTCTTTGTACGATGATGTCTTCGTTTCAGGGCCCAACACATCCGTGCCCCAAAGCGGACATCCCCGTACACTGGTGAGGCAAGCAGCAATCGAAGACTCTTCCACAAGTGAAAATCATGTGCTTGGTACTGGGCAGCCTGTGGAAGAGAGCCACCAAGGGTTTAACGCATGCAGTGAAACGGTATCGGCCAGGAACAAGTCCCTGGTACAGGGATCAAATCTGGAGAAGAAAAAGTCCCACCAAGGGCGGGGGACAATGTTTGAGTGTGAAACCTGTAGAAACAGGTATCGGAAACTGGAAAATTTTGAAAACCATAAGAAATTTTACTGCTCAGAGTTACACGGGCCAAAAACAAAGGTCACCCTGCGAGAACCGGAACACAGTCCCATGCCCAGCAGTACGCAGCCTCGGATCCTGCACTATAGAGTAGCTGCTTCCACGGGTGTCTGGGAACAGACCCCCCAGATTCGAAAAAGGCGGAAAATGAAGAGTGTCGGTGACGATGACGAGCTTCAGCAAAATGAAAGCGGGGCTCCGCTGAAAAGCCCAGGAGGCCTTCAGCTGCAGAATGCGCCGGCCTCCACGTCCAGTGTGCCCACACATCACGTTGCCATAGCGAGTGACCAACAGCAGAGAAGCATCCAGCTGCAAAGCTCACACAATCAGCTTGTTGCCAGGGGCACCGACCAGACCACGGATCCGAAGCTGGCCACCATTGCGGAGCAGCAGATAAGCTCCGCTACCCAGGAAAAGGCAGACCTGAAAAGGCACGGCACGGGAATCTCTGTCATACAGCACACAAACTCGCTGAGCAGGCCCAATTCATTCGACAAGCTTGAGTCTTTTGAGAGAGGCTCCCCGGGTGCCTTCCAGGAGCTGGGTCGGGCGGTGGCGGCTGCGACGGTGACAGCAGGAGGGATGTCTCAGGACAGCAGCCACCCTTCCCCGAACCTCTCCCATCCTCACCAGCCTGCGTTGCCAGACACACTCAGAGTCTCGGAGCTCTCACCAAGTTCCCGAAGGATTCCCAGCGAAAGGCATGTGTTAGGCCAGCCCTCCCGGCTCGTCCGGCAGCACAATATCCAAGTCCCGGAGATCCTGGTCACAGAAGAGCCAGATCGGGACGCGGAAGCCCAAGGCCACGATCCAGAAAAATCAGAAAAGTTCAGTTGGCCTCAGCGGAGTGAAACCTTGTCAAAATTGCCGACGGAGAAACTGCCGCCCAAGAAGAAAAGACTCCGTCTGGCTGAGATGGAGCACTCCTCCACCGAGTCGAGCTTTGAGTCCGCCCTGTCTAGGAGCCTGAGTCGGGAGAGTAGTCTGTCGCAGGCCTCAAGCTTCTCTGCTTCGCTAGACATAGAGGATCTTTCTAAAGCAGACTCTTCCCCCAACATTGAATTTCTAAATAAAGCAGAGTTTTTGGTGATTCCAGCCGGCCCCAATACACTTAATGTTCCTGCAGCTCACCAGGAAATGAGGCGGGCCGCGTCAGAGCAGATCAGTTGCATGCAGACGTCCATGGAGATCTCTGATTTCAGAAGCAAATCATTTGACTGCGGAAGCATCGCTCCATCTCAGGTGGTACCTCTGGTTGACCTACAGCCTCCAACACCCCCCTCTGTCATGGGACCTACCAGACACGTGACCCTTTTAGAGAGAAGAAGAGGACCACTGATACGGCAGATATCCTTAAATATAGCCCCAGAGAGTCACGTGCCTCCAGTGACCCCATCGCCCTTCCAAACTATTGCCCCTCCACCTGTAAACCCAGTGCCCTTCCAGGGGACTCAGGTCACTAGCATGTCAAGAGTGGAGTTTCCGGCCAGTGCTTTGCACACCCAGGCCAAAGTTACCGATCTGCAGACGGAAACTTTGAAGTCCAGCTCGACTAAAAGTTTTTCTCCTCAACAGCTTTTTGGTCTGAACTTATTAAATCAAGTGCACACAGTTCCCAGCCACCAAAATGCACAGCCACCTCAGAGAGTCACTGTCCGGGCTGCCCAGCCGGATGCCAGCCCCACCTTGTGTACATCCTCTCAGAATGAGGAGAGCTTTGCCCCAAAGTACCAACTTCAGTTTCAGGCTTTAGCTTCAAGCCAGTCTTACTCTTCTAACCCTGTACATTCTTTGCCAAATCAAGTTCTTTCAGATCCCGTCAGTGCACACCATCGCGTGGCTTCCCCCGCGTTACCAGCCAAGCCAGTAGAGGACACACCCGATCCATGTGCTCTGCCAGCATCCAAGCGTGGGCCACTCGGCAGTCAGGTACAGAAGGCACCACCATCGTTCATGGTGCCCGTGCGTCTTCAGAGCAGTGTCCCAGCCTACTGTTTCCCCACAGTTACATCTCTGCCACAAATTCTTGTGACCCAGGATCTCTCAAGTCAACCAATTTGCCAGGCTCGTAATGCTGTAGTGCCAATGAGCAGAGAACCAATTTCCATGCCAAAACTGCAGAAAGAGCAACAGAAGACTTTGCCAAACCCAGAGAAAGAACTTGTTTGTGAGAACGTTTTTTCAGAACTATGCCAAAAGTCTGCGCTGCCGGAATCCTTGCCTGTAAGTCAGAAGTTGTCTATTGGTAGACTTTCCCCTCAACAAGAATCTTCGGCCTCAAGTAAAAGGATGCTTTCCCCAGCAAACAGCTTAGACATTGCCATGGAAAAGCACCAGAAGCGAGTGAAGGATGAATATGGGGCTGTTTGCTCCACAGACGTTAGACCCTCAGAGCTGTTGAGTCCCAGAGCGAATGAAGCTAACAAACAGAAGAAGCCTGTCTTGGTGAGGCAGGTGTGTACCACAGAACCCCTGGAAGGAGTGATTCTGGAACAGGGTGCTTTCTCCCAACCTGAAATGAAGAATGACTCAGCAGATGTTTCACCAACTGCCAAGTCTCCCTCTATAGACTCTGTCACCGAACCACAAGAATTTGAAAACTGCAAATCCTCCACATCACTAACTCTCACAGTTAGAAATTCACCAGTCTCTTCGGAAATCACTCACACGTCTCCTTTGAAAAGTATAGACAATAACCAAGAAAGGAGGTCTCCAGCCGCGGTTAAGAATCAAGGTGACAACACCCAAGACATTAAATCAGCAAGCACCCTTTCAGTGTTTAATACCGGTGAGCCGCCGCAGCGGTCTTGTCCCAGTAAGACCACCACGAGCTTCACCTGGTGTTATCTCCTAAGACAGAAGTCACTGCACTTGCCTCAGAATGACCAGAAAACCTCCGCATATACTGATTGGACAGTGAGCTCCAGCAATCCAAATCCACTCGGTCTACCTACAAAAGTTGCGCTTTCTCTCCTTAATTCAAAACAGAAGACTGGAAAGGCCTTATATTGTCAAGCCGTAGCCAGTCACTCCAAATTAGATCTGTTGGTCTACTCAAGCAAGTGGAAAAGCAACTTAAACAAGGTACTACAAAGATAATCTACTTTCAGACATATCTGGTGCCAGTTTTGTTTAACAGTCTTGATACCTTTTCAACATTTTAATTGCAAATGGGTATTTTCGTTTTGAATGGTAAATTGTGCTGGATGTGTTTGTTACTTAAGGGCAAGGGTGAGACTTTAACCCCTGGAGTTATATTGATGGAGTTTACCCGGAGTTCTTTCACTGATTCTGTCATAAAATGTTTTGGAATTGATAGCCAGCTGGAAACACTTTTTAATGTTTCCTCTCTTAGTTAAAGTAGTCTCTATTTAATGAGACAGAGACTCGTTAGTTTACCTTGCTCTCTTCTCTTCTGATAAGGTGGTGGTGTTGCGAGTAGATTATGTGTCTGCTTTACCCCGATAATGCAGGGAAAGAGAGGTGTGCACAAAGATTTGTCTATTTCACTTTGAAATCGGAGTGGAGAGCCTGTCTGAAGATAGCACTGTTGGTCCTGATTGAGACCTGACCACTCCCTTATCCACCTCACCCCATCCCAGCTTTCTATCAAGATCACTCTGAGAGTCATCTGAAGATTGATGGGAAGGTTCACAAAATAACTGATACACTTGATGACCCAGTTGATTTATACAAGGCTTATAAAGAAGTTTAATTCTGTAGAATTTGTGGACTCAACCCCCTTAGAGGAGTTAGCTTTATAAAATGGGGGAAGGATCATTTAAGCAATTAAAAATACAGTTGATAAAGGTTTCATGTTTGTTTCTGGGTATCAGGAATTACACTGACTTCTATAGATTCACCAGCATATTGTACAAATTAATAAACATTTCAGTAAAAAAATATTGCAGTATTGGTATTATGGTAGAAATGAATAAAACTTCTAAAGTAAGTAAATCCGTAAAATTGCTGATAGGCTGTGTAAGTATGGCTGGAAGGGCAAGACGTTCCAAAGAGATGTTACTTAGCAGAGTCTTGTGTGTGTGTGTGTGTGTGTGTGTGTGTGTGTGTGTGTCAGGGGTGGGGGTGTTGGGGGGGATCAACTGGTGATTTTTTCTGGCAAACAAACATGAGAAACTAGCAGTCTGTGGAATGATTGAATGGCATGCAAGTGAGAAAGAATTTGGTTCATTAAAAGAACTGAAAAAGAGCCCTTTTTAAAAGGCTAAAGAATGCTGTTTGGAACAACAGCATACTTTGAAATTGGTGGAAAGTAGGCTCAAGAACTAGTGGTACTTACTCGGTGGAGCGATGCACCCTAACCATTTGTGGAACCTATTTTTCTTAATGTCCAGACTTTAGTCAATAAATCAAACTCTTGGAAGATGGGACCTGAGTCTTAGTATTTTAGCAACTTCATGTATGTTCCTGGAGTGTCTGTGAAAATTAACTTTCCTGAAATACTAAGTGGTATAGTAGATATATCTGGAGATGCATAGCTAAGATGTGGCTCTCAGGAAAGCCCAGGGGGAAGTTTTAATGGTTTCTCAGGGAGCCTGAAAAGAAGCAAAGGCAAGAGGGCCTAGACGCAATCCCTGGGAGGGACTGGTACTTAAAAGACTGAGTAGAGAAAGGAAGTCCCCGCAGGTTGCTGAAAGAGACCATTCATAGAGGAAAAAGAAGAAGCAGGTGAGATTGGTGTCATGGAAATTAAGGAAGGAGAGGTAAAAAAAGGTTGAGGATTCACAGGAGTATCTAGATTGTTCTGCTCCAGTAACACTCATGAGACCCTGGGCGGTGCAGATGGTTAACCAGCTCAGCTGCAGATTGGAGATTCAAGTCCATCCAGGGCAGCTGAGAAGAAAGGGCTAGACCTCTGTTAACCAAACACGCCAACGATGGAACTCCCTCTGCTGCCCAGTTCTGCTCTGACACTAGTGGGGGCAGGAGTCACGACTCGATGGCAGCAAGTTACTCTCTCTGGAGACTTGAGTCTGTGAGTAGGTGACTACGGAGGACCAGGTCCAATGTGTATCTGTGACTCTAGTGGGAAAAAAGATGTGAAAGGAAAAGATGTTTCTAAGAGAATGACATGTAATGCCGTAGAGTAGTCATGCATAGAGAAACCAAGGAAATGTTAATTATCTTGACATTTAGCTCACTTGTAAGTTGGGACACGAGAAGCCAGATAACAAGAAGCTCCTCAGAAAAGTGCATCGTCAGAAACTGAGCCAGAGGGAGAGAGGATTTTAATATTGAAAAGAAGGTGAGACAGAGCGGTTACAGGGATGAAGTTGTGGAAAGGTGTGTGCACATATACCCCAACCTGTAGGAAGAACTGATCTATTTGTCAGGAAGAGGAAAGATTGCATTGCTTTCTTCTTTGGCACCAGTGTTGTCACTTCTTCACACTTCCTTTCTGAGGAGCGAGTGTCAGGTCTTCTTCACTTCTGTCTGTGTAAGGACTGTGGGTCCCAGGGGTTGCTGCTCTGGGCCACACAGCCCCTTTTGCCCTACTGCGGGGGCACAGTCTCACCGCTTCCTGTTACTGAGCCTGGATGAGATAGCTGTCTACTTGGCTATGTTCTTATGTTTTTGAAGGAGTTATGTAGAGAAGAAGCCCTTGACCAGCAATGGTCTGTCTTTTGTTGGACTCAGCAGAGAACTTGAAGTTGAGCCTTTGCTGTTAACATTTGCCTTTTTGCCCGTAATAACCCCTAGGGTGCCCTCAGCAGAATATAATCCACCCGCAAGAGCTAAATGGAATGATGAATGAAAAGAAAAATGCGTTGTACTCTGTGTGGATTGTATACCACTGTAAGGTATACTATTTCTATAGAAAAGGCACATATTATTCATCAATCCAATGTTCATTACCTTTTCCCGGAGATGTAGGTATCAGATCCATAGTCAGAGATTTTGAGGAGGCCTGGCTGTTGGAGTGACAGGCGTGTGGGACTTCGATTCGATCAGAGGCCCTGGTGGGGACATAGCTGAGTATGCAACTACTGAGGGGGCTTCAAGGCCCCCTAGGAGCACCTCAGAAGACAGGCCTGGCTGTCCTTGGGCTTCCCCAGGCCCGGCTGGGATTGGAAACCCCGCGCGCGCACCATTCTGTGCTGCAGTGGGCTCAGTAGCAACGAAGTTTCTTTTAGAACCATAGTTCAATTTCCCATGAAGGGGTGTGGGGACGCAATACCAGACTCACCGAGGAAGCAGGATAAAGTAGGAAATGGAGTTTTCTGCTTAAATTTTTAATCCTGTTTCTCAGGGTTATGAACCATTATTTTACCCCAAAGGGCGCCTGTCTCTTTCCGCTGTCCAAAGAATCAACGGGGAGCAGTGTAGGAGAAAGAGTACTTAGTTGATTGAAGAAGCTCTTCTTACACGCTGGAGTACCAGGGCGGGAGGGAGTCCGGGGGGCTGGGCGGATTTGAAGATGGCACCGATTGATGGGTTTGCTCCGGGGTGGATCAGGTAGTCATTTCAGAAGGGAAAGATGAAGCCTGACTGTCACACCTGTCCTGTGAGCTGCGTTTCGCCAAGTCCTTGTGTGCCAGGCCCCGTGCGTGCCATGTTTAATTTCCAATGAAACAGTAGCGTGTTTGTGTTTTCAGTTTTATTAAATTAGTTTCTCTGTTTGTTTGTTTTTTTCCTTTCAGAGAGCATTAGGTAATCAAAAGTCCACAGTAGGTGAATTCAGCAATAAAGATGCCTCTGAAATTAACAGTGAGCAAGATAAAGAAAATTCCTTAATCAAAAGTGAACCACGAAGAATTAAAATATTTGATGGAGGGCAAGTACAAATTTTACTTCTTAAATGTACATTTAAACTGGCTTTTTAAATGTACATTTGCTTTCGTGTAAATGAAGACTTAACAGTGCCAATTTTACATAAATGTTGCGAGGTTTGTCAACTTGTCAAACAGAATTTTTCTGGCAAAGTGCGGAGCCCTGGTAGCGCACCTGTGGGCTTCCGTGAACTCCCTGTGGGGCAGTTCTACTCTGTTGCACGAGATCCCTGGGAGTGGAAATCAAGTTGACGACGCGTAACTGCGATGATGGGTCACAGTATCTGTCAGCCGTATGTCGAAGAGTTCTGTTTGATGGAGAGAACAATGACGACTTAGGGAACAGTGCCAGGCCTCGGGAGCACCTCAGAGGAGAGCTCCGTTTTCCGAGTGACTGATAGGAAGGAGTGACGGAAACAATCTCTTTGGAGAGAAATGAATTCTTTGCCTATTTGATGCCTTTGTGCATTTTGTTATGCCGATTTTAGGTATGGTAAAGCTCCGAAATATGTCAGTACTGATAGTTGTATTGTAATTTAACTTAATAATAAAGAAAACTTTTAAACCAAGTATATAGAAACAGGGCGATATTTAAATTTTAAAAAGCATTGATTAACATTTGTTCATTGAAATTAGTTAATAGAATAGTCAATGTTGATTTGAAAAGCTGGGATAATCCATTACACATGCATAAAACTTTATCACCTGAATATAAAAAGTTGTGTCCTTTTTTTAAGGTTGAATTTTTAATCACGAATATTTTCTTAAAAACATAGCATCCAATCCCCACTATTAAATCTCCAATTTAATTTTTTTTCCCCCGCTAAATCAGATATAAATCAAATGAAGACTATGTCTATGTCCGAGGCAGGGGAAGAGGAAAGTACATTTGCGAAGAATGTGGAATACGTTGTAAGAAGCCTAGTATGTTAAAGAAACACATACGAACCCATACCGATGTCCGCCCCTACCACTGCACTTACTGTAACTTCTCCTTTAAGACGAAAGGTATGAAATGCACAGTCGTTGCTTTTGGTTTGTAGAGCTGAAACCCAACTCTGGTTATCATCTGACCGAAGATACTGCAGTTTAAATAGACTGATAATTTATGCCTTGTCAGCTGTGTAGTCGTCGTCTTTGTTTCTAGACCCTTATTTATTTCGGAACTTTTGGGATTTAGTTGTAATATTTTAAAAGGAACAACTGCCCCCTCCCTTTTTTTTAACTTCTCAAATTACAGTTGCATAACATGATGACTAATACATTTTCAACAGAACGTTGGGGCTAAGGAGGGAAAAGGAAGTTTTGTGATAAAACATGAATTCATTTAGAGGCGAAAAGTTTAAAAATTTAAAGTAATCACCATAGGAAGCTTTTTTAGTGGTTATACTTGGGCTTTATTATCTAATTTTAGGCATGTGGAGCCATTTTAGACCCATGAGATATCTTTTAGCCCCGATAATACTAAATTTCAGCTTTACTTTTTTTCTAATTTTTCTTCAGTTTACTATGTTATAAAGATATCAGAATATTTCCAGAAAAACTCTGGATTTTGTGCTCTCTGTGTTTTTTTAAGATATATTTTGATTTAACTGGTAATTTGTGTCCCACAAGTTGCCTGTTCTAAATAATGGTAACTCTGAGAAATGCCTGCTTTCTCACTCCGCTCAGTTCATAGATGATCACATAGCAGTTTCTCACCCAGGTTTTAATTTCATTTACTACCATTGAAAGAATAAGAATCTCTATAAGCAAAGTACTGTCCTCCTCCTCATGAAAATTATCCATCTTCAAGGACTATCAACAAAATAATGTTTTCTGTCCATCATTTTTTGACAGAAGCAATTTATATCCCTTTTAGATTAATACATCACTTCTTTTAGAATTCTGTTGGTTGTCTTCACAGTCTTTGCTTAAAGCTTGGTCAAATATTAAGCAAAACACACTACATTTTTTGGCTAGTAATTTAATATTTTATTGATTTTTTTTAAAACTGGCATTTGAAGAGCTATATAACAAAAGCTTCTAATTAGTTCTCCATGATAGTATCTGGGATAAGAATGAAGGGGGTGGGGAAATGTCATTCTTCAAATAACCTTGAGTCTTTCCAGAAAATTCCAAGAGATAACTTGGAGTTGAGGAGGGATGCTAATTTTGTAGCTCCTTGGTTGTGACATAGACTCTCTTTCCAGAGACAGATTTCAGAACAATATCCCTGGCCCCAAATTGGTCCAGTTAAGATATTTCTCTTAATTACCAGTATGCAATCAGCAGCATTTTGGGGTGCCTATATTATTAGTACAAGATGACCAAATTCAGGATGTCAGTAAATACAAGGAGATCAAGGTTTAATATAGGAAAAGAAATCTGGGCATTTACTAAATAAAGGTAAGAAAGGAAAGAAAACCTAAATACAGGAAACTAAAGGAAATCAGAGATTTCTCGGCAAGGCCAAGTGCTATGGTTCACCACTAAGTATGAGTGTTAGTGAACTAGCTCAAAACAAAATTAAATTAAAGTTTAGATAGATATTTATCAAGCTGCCAAGCAATAAGCAACCCCCCATACGAGCAGTGCTCCTGTTAGATTTCACGTCGTATGGCGCAGCTCTTATTTCGACACTTATGTTTTTTGTTGTAGCAGATAGTCCACACAGGTTGTGTGATGAACACTTATTTAACAGAGACTATCTTCACTACAGAGACAGGTGCAGAAAACACTGATGTTCCGCTGTTTTCCTGTCTTCAGCCTGAAGGCTGTCAGTTCCTTTCACCGTTTGTGACTGTGTAGAACAGCGACCGCGCACCTTCAAACAAAAGTAGTTGAACAAAAATGGACGACTTCCACGTAGGCAGGAGATATTGCCTTGCAGAACTACTTTGTTTCCTAGGCAATCCAATTCTGATTTTTAAGAGTCTATCTGGCTATCAGCAGAAGAAAATGAGAATGTAGTAATAGGATGCAGTGACAGCAAAAATACTGCTATCCAAAGATTGTTGCCTCGCCCTAGAAACGGATGCTTCTATGGTAGTGCTTAGCCTCCGTACGCTGTCTTGTGTCCTCTTAGTTTATAAGTTTATTTTCAAAATAATTTTTATTGATCTTTGTTGTGCTGTTCTGTGTGGAAGATCAGACAGCAGAAAATAATCATGGAGCTGGCATCTCTGCCAAACACAATTCCATGTATAACTCAGAAAGTTAGATTCTATATGTAACCCTAGGAATCCAGAAGCAAAACCCATCGAATGCCACTCATAGGATTTGGATAAATATTGATTAAATCTATCTAAAAGTTTATTAAATTATCACATTAAGTTTATAGCATTGCTAGGGGATGTTCATATTTTTAAGATGGGCGTATTTTGCAAATTTAAAATGGAAGTGACTTTATTTGTGCTAAATTATTTAGGATATCGGTTAATTGCAATAAGTAACTCAGGGTATGAGACTGTGTCTACTGAAAACTACGTCCCCGATTTTTACCATTGTCCTTTTAGTAATAGTTTTTCATTAGCTTCTTAGAAAGCACGCTGCTGCTCTCGCTCTGCTAGGAGACAGAGCATTCGGAAACAGACGGAGTAGTGGAACTTATAATTTGGTCTTAGTATGGTTACTATTTGAAGACATTTGGATTTACAAATGAAAGTGTCAGCCCTAGGAAGATGACCAAGCCATTTGACAAGCCTTTCACTAAAACATTTGGAAGCATACAAAAACTGAAATGTCAATATCCTTTAGCCCAACATGCCTGTTCTTGGCTAATAGTTGACGGCGTCATACAAACATGACCAGTTCCACTAGCTAAGCGCATTTTTCTAGAGCTGAGGCTGTATAAATCTGGCAGTATTATAAGCTCCTTCAGTACTGCTAAGACCAAAATTTGGTCCACTGACTGAGAGAGATTTTAGCTCTTCTCAAAGTTTATCCTGAAATACTAGCTCCCCACTGCCCACCAAACGGAGCATTTGGGTTTATTCATTTGTTTTCCAAAGACAGTAATTTGCCCTTATGCGTAGTGTCCACTCAAGCTTGTTGGCATCCGCAGAAGAATCTGAGCACGCCCCTGACACAAGATGACAAGGACAGCTGGTCCGTTGTTTCCCAGTTAGCCCAGTAGGAGGCGCCCAACTGCCCAGCAGAAGCACACCTTTGAGACACTATTCTAGGACTGACAGCCACTCTGGTGAACTGAAATCAACACAGGGACTTCTTTCTTCTACTCCAGACACACAGAAATACTTCATTTTTACTATAACAATAGCCAGAAATTGTTTCAAAAGAATGAATGAGAATCAAAGTCTTACCTGTCTTGGGTTGGAGTTTGAGACCCTACAATAAGCCTGGCTCCCCTGAGCAGTCACATCGGGCCATGTGAGTAAAAGCTAATCTGCTAAAAAGCAAAGCCTCTTAGACCATGAAAACCAGCTTGTCCAGAATCAGTGGTCTGAAACGTTTAAGGTGCCAGACAGAAGCATTAAAAACGGACTCTTCAATAATGTTTTTGCAACCCGGGATACATGAAACACTAGTAAACCTATTAGCGAGAAACTTAAACAATAAAAATCAAAAAGCGTGCAAGGAAACCTACTACCTGGAGAGAGAGCCGGTGGTGGAACCCGTGGAGAATTCCACCCCCATGAGTTACAGATTATGGGGTAATGTGAAGGGGACCTTTGTATGCATTTTTTAAGATAAATTATTAATAAATAGTAAGGTTATTACAACATAGAGAAAATACATTCTTATGGGAGAATTTTAATCACTGGAATTGTGCAACTGCAGTGTGGTCTTTCTACTTTTTAAGCTAGAAATAGGAATGGTATTTGCCAGTGCTGACATGCAATAGTGAAGTAATTAACTATGTAAGCTTAGTAAACATTCTTTTCCCTTAAGGAAATCTGACAAAACACATGAAGTCCAAGGCACATAGCAAGAAATGTGTGGATTTAGGCGTCTCAGTAGGTTTAATAGAGGAACAAGATACGGAAGAAGCAGGTAAGGCTTTACTCTGTTTTTCATAAGTGCTGTTTACAGTGAACTGTTTCTTGTGTGTGGTTTTGTTTGTTTGTTGGCATCCATGCTCCTCATCCCATTGCCACTGATGCTGCCTACTTTTTGTTCTCATTACTGTACATGAGACTCCTCATCAGGTTTCCCATCTTTAGCATGCCTTCCTACCCCATCTTTGAGGCCTGGTCCCTGGTCCTGGTCCTCCCCTGCTCAAGAACTTTCCTTAATTCCGCTTTACCTGCAGCTAACAGATGAATCACTCGGCTCCGCTCACAGCCTGTGTAACGGTTGCTTTTTGGCTTCACACCCCATGTTGTTATTCTTCCACTTACCTTGATGCCTGAATTTCTTCCCTTCCCACATTCCTTTAGTCCCCCCCCCTTGCTCCCCCTGCATATTTAGCTCCCAGTCTCCTCTGGTCCACAGGTTGCCTTTCCTAAAGTGCTAGCTCTGGTCCCTGGCCTCCCTGCAGCCTTACCTGATGGTCCCTTTCCTCAGCGGTGGCTGGAGGCAACTTTTCCCTTCCCCAAACTCCTGTAATACGTTAGATTTTCCTCCCTGATGGTATTTGATCTTTTTTCACTTTGTTTTGTATTTACATGCTTGCCTGACATGCTCATTGAGAGTCTGAATTGTATCACGGGCAACTTAACTTGGTATTTTTCAACAACATGAACTGAACAAATCAAGATATTTATCTCTAACCAGTTTTCCTTTGGGGAGGGGGGATGGCAATTTATTTGTTCTGACTAGTCAGAGAATAGGTATGTAAAAGAGAGTGTTTAAAGGGGTGAGGGTTCCCTTTTTAAAAGTTAATTTAAATGTTTACATTCTATGTGTTATTTGGTGTACAGTATTTTCATGAAGAAAAAACTCCAAAAAAAACCTCCAAAGCGGACTTGGAAACATTGATAACAGAAGTCAGAAATCCATTGCATTTAATCCCACGTGAAAATACACTGAAGGAATCTTCATGAATTTACTTGTGAAAGATACAAGAGAAGTGTCTTAAGTGGTACAACTGATAGGATTCAGGATTTTAAGCCCAAAGAAAGGACTAGTAAGCATTTCCTTAATAGCAGGGAAAGCAACAGTACATTCAGGAGAATTGGTAGTTTAATTTTTGCTTTATAAAGACTGTGATGCTTTGATTCATACCGAGGAGAGCTGTAGCAGGACTTAAAGGTGTATGTCACCCTATTGTGTGTTTCTGTTGCTTTGTTCAGTCCATTTGGACTCACAGTGGCCTTAGAGGACAGGGTAGAACTGCCCCTGTGGGTTTCCGAGGCTGTGAGCCAGAAGGTCCTCATAATGCGGCCCGCAGGCCACATGTGGCCCACTGAGGACATTTATCCGGCCCATGGGGTGTTTTTGCCGCCCCTGCCTGTCCTGCTTAGCAGCCGACTCGTCCAGTGTGCATAGGAATTTGTTCATAGTTGTTTTTTTTTTAAACTGTAGTCTGGCCCTCCAACGGTCTGAGGGACAGTGAACTGGCCCCCTGTTTAAAAGTTTAAGGACCCCTGCTAAGCCTTTGTGGAAGCAGAATTGCTCATCTTTCTCCCAAGGAGTGGCGTTGTCTCCAAACTGCTGACCATGTGATTGGTAGCCCAGCTCATAACTCTTTAGACTACCAGTGATGTGTTTTTGCCCTGGAAACATAATAACAGCTGGTTTTTTGAAATTATGAATTGTATTTTATAAATTTTATTGTAATTAGCTTTTAAACAATTCCATTTCTTTCTGCTGTAATAGCACAAAACATTACTATCACAATTGAAGTGAAAAAAAGTCTATTTTAGCCTTATTCTTTTGTTGAATAATTCAGAAGGGGGGGGGAAGTAGGAAAAACATCTAACAGTTTCAACAAGAATATGTGTTACCTACTGAATAGAAAAAGCACAGAGGCCCCATGCTGTGCAGATAGTTAAGCTCTTATTAGCTTAACCACGCTAAGCGGGTGGTTTCGGTCCATACAGGCACCTAAGAAGCAGACCTGGCTATCTACCTATGTCTAAGAATCAGCCATTGAAAACCCAGTGGAGGACAGGTCTGTCTCGATGCACAGAAGGTGGGCTTGACCCTCAGCTGGTTAGAAAGGGCACCAAAAACACAAAGGCTACCGAGTCAGTCCCGACTCAGCAACCTTAGATCTCTTACAAGAGGGAAAAGCTGCTGCTTCCCCTTGGAGCAGCTGCGGAGTTTGAACAGCTGATCCTGGGGTCAGCAGCCAGTGAGTCAGCTAGTTGAAGGTTAATTTGAAACATTGTCTGCAAGTGTGTAAATGTAGAACTTGTCCTTATTCTAATACAAGAGGGTTATACAATGTTCATGGAAAAATGAATAAAAAGAAAACCGGATTTTTCCATGGACTTTTTGAATTCAACTCACATATGCTCTTAAATGTTTAACTTCTGTGAGAAGTTGAGTCTTATTCAAATGAACTAAAATATCTAAGAGTGCTCTATAAAGGGAAGTCAGTACTTAACATCATAAGTAAGTGTAGGAGAATTAACTTTCCACTAATTATCGAGCATTGTTTCGTTGATTGACTTGCGTATCTATCATGTATTTCTGTATTTCTCATCTCATTCCAGAAGCATTTGAAGCAGGTGCTAGATTATAATTCAAATTCAACAATCTAATTCCCTAGTTAGACTAAATCTTTTGATAAACCTCTAAGCAGTTTTCACCTGTTTGTCTTTCAGTTAAACCATTAAAGGTTTCTTTGTGGTTTTTTTATCACATAGCATAAAATACAGGTGGATTTTGCCAAACAAGAGACCTAATGTTCTTCATTGACATGCAATGCCAATATGTATGTATCATGTGTGTATACATACATATATATGTGAAAGAAAAACAAACTGCCATTGAGTCAATGTCGACTCATAGTGACCAACCCCGTTGGTTTCTGAGACTTTATAGGAGTGGAAAGCCCAATCTTTCTCATATATATTTATATTTCATTTGCTCTTTTACAGGCTTGGAAAATAGGTTTAAATATAAAATTTTTGTTTTAAATTAATAAACTATGGTTCTTTTTAAAGGTGTTTTTAAGACATTTTTAAATACAAAAAGGTTTCAAACATTTGTGTTTCATGGCTCAGGGACCCATCTCCAGTTACTGATGATAAACATGTTTTCCACATTTGCTTGGACTCCTTTTCCTAAACCTAGTGCTTTTTTCCCTTCCTTGGTCTTTTTTGGGTAGGATTTACTCAAGTAAAACAAGGGGCCCTGTGCCAGTCCCTCTCCTCCCAGAGGCAAACACTGTTGTCTAGAACCTTTTCTCTCTGTTTATTTAACATACGCGAATAATTGGTCCTTTTGTTTATGTTTGTATTTTGTTTACATCTTGGTACCACTTTAAATTGTCCTTTAGAAGTAACTTTCCCTTTCCCCACCTCCTCCATCATGTTAGTGTTGTCCTCGTTTATGTTTTGAGGCAAATTTGAAGGGTGATAGTTTGTTGCCTTAATGCTTTCTTGATGACTATATTGATGTTGGGTCCTGTTATTTTTAAAGGCTGCTTCCCTCCATTAAATTGCTGACACTTGGAGATAGGTTTTACTTAGCAGATCTTTAGCTTGCGGTGTTCACCGGGAAGAAATCCCAGAAGGCAGAAATACGGTGCTGTGTATCTGGGGCACACACCGCCTTGAGTTGAACCCTAGCCCACAGTATAGGAGCTCTTCTTTTTCTATCACCTTCGCAGTTCCTTCTCATCTCCCTGCAACGGAGATGTGCCTCGGGAAAGGTTGTGGGATTTCCTCTCTTTTTCTGCCCTCAGTCTCCCCACCCAGGAGCTCTCCTGTTTCATGACTAAATGCCCTCTATATGGTGATAGCTCCCAACTGGCTTCCGGACTCCAACTTGCACGCCCACGTGACTACTCTCCTGTCCACATGGGTATGTACAGGCCAAACTCCTTATATGCCCCTGACGCACGAGGAATATGCCTTCTCTGCAGTCTCCCACGTCCTTGCAGTTCCTCAGTCATAACTTTGAGGCTCTCCTGATGCCTGCCTGCCTTTCTGTTTTGCCCTTCCGTTCCACCAGTAAAACCTTTCATCTGTTGGTTATAGACAACGCCACTCTGGTCAAAGCTGCCATTTACGGCATTGATTGCAGTGGCTTCTTTTACCCTACGCTGAGCTGGATGTACATGGTGGCTGCAAGAAGGGACTCAAACATCGCCTTGATTGTGAAGGTGGTGCAGCACTAGGCCCTGTCTCATTGTGACTCTCATGAGTACGTGACTCTGGGATAGATGGCAGCAGTCAGTCTTCAGCCCAGCAGACCGATGGGGCTTATTATAATTATGTCAGTCTTTTGTTTAAAACCTTCCTGTGAATTGCTCTCTCATTCAAAGCAGTGGTCTGTACCCAGTGAGATTTACAGCCCAATCACCTCTTCTCATACTTTTTTCCTGAAATTCCTCTCCCCTCTTTCCTCCCTAAAATCAAGTGGTAGGTATAAAACTCCACAACTAAACACATAGCCATGAAGTCGATGTGCCTTACTTGTTACTATTGTTTAAGTTAATGGGTCAAGGTTGATTGAGTTATTGTTAAAAGCAATGATGAATTTGCTTATTAATTTATTATTAGTCATCTGACCAGAAACTAGAATAAGATTTGAGTTTCCTGGGGTTGCACTTTGTCATTCTCAGTAATGATTAGTGATCACTCTAGGCTAAAAGATCAATTATATTTTCCCATTGTTCCAGAGGAGAGAAGCATAATCTCTGTGATTCGGTCTTTGTTTACTTAGCTCCTCAGCACCGGGTCAGTGTACCACATCACTGCCACCCAGGGACCCACAGGTCATGACCGTGATGTTGGGTGAGCAGAGAGTGGGTAGGGTTCCGGGCCTAGACTTGGATCAGTGATGTCCAAGTTACCTGTTGAAGGCTGATCGAGGGTATGACAAAGAAAAGGAGGAGCACCTTGGGAGCACCAAGACTAGCTAAAAGGTTGCCAGTT